ATTAAAATTGTACGACTTTAATTAAAATCTCAACACAAAAACTACAGTGGGAAATCTGAACAGCGAACAAGTTTTTAAAAATCATTATAAAATTAGAATTTTCAAAATCCTAATTATTTATTTTTATAAATTATATAGCCACCTAAAATAGAAATTCTTACCAAAATCATTTATTCGTTGGGTAGTAATTGTCACATTTAAGTTAGAGCGACACCACACACATGCCATTTGTTAACAGATCATAGACGTTGAACCACAGATTTTAAACCAATTTAGCTAATTAAAACATTCTTTTTTACAATCAGACGTCGTTTACAACGAATCCCCAAACAACTATCTCTTCTCAAGAGCAAACCGCAACTATTCTGCGGTTTAGAATTAACCACAACCCTCTCAATTACCTGAAAAGTGAAATCTACATGCAAATGCAGAGTTATTTACGAGCGCAAACATTTTTTCTACGTGCAGACCCCTCGAGCATTTTAAACTTAGACTTTATGGGTTTATTGGTGTCTTCATTTCACCCTGGTAATTATGCAGCGGGTTGACGTGTGTTCCATCTAGATAAAGCCGACCGTTTACATTCTTTAGCTGAACAACTTTAGAGGGGTCCGAGGCTGCTACCCCTTGCTAAGTCACTAGTTTACGCTTCTGGGTTCTGGTTGGTCGCTTCAGACATGGTTCCGATTCATAGCGCGTTTGTATTGTTAAAGATGTAGATGTGTTTTTGCACGAGTCGAAGGACACTGAACTTGAGGGATGATGGCTGAAAAAAAGTGGTGAAGTGAAAGTGACAGCCAAGGTCCATTTTGCTTTGCTCGGACGCATTGAGGTATGGTGGAGTGGTTTTGAGTGCGGGGGCTGTGGCTGAAAACGTTAAAAATCGAGTATTAGTGGTCGAATTATAAATGTTCTGCATTATTTGATTGTTTTTTTAAGACTTCTATTGTTTATTTATTTATTTTTTTTTTGTTAAAGAAAACGCTAAAATGGTAATTAAACTTTTCAATCATGAATTCTGTTACTATAACTGATACAATGAATATAATTTTTCTACGTTACTGATAAAATTTAGTAAAATGACGAACAAATTAGAAGATTTTGTGAAGACAGACAAAGTAATTATTTTGTTTAGTATGTCTGGTCAGGTGCAACGGTTGATATTACTAATGTAAACGATGACATGATTTTATAAATGTTCCTAACATCTTCTAAGTAAACTGAAATATAAAAATTCATTGATGATTTAAATATTGATAGTTAAAAAAATATTATCAGATATTGCTACAATAAATTTGTAAATTATAGGGATGTATTTAAATAGTTTCCATTAAATACACTACTGTTCTGTTATATGTTATTGTCCTGAACCCCATACTATGATATTTAAGTATCATATTAAGCCACAATTTTATCAGTTTGCCTACAAATGTTTAAATTTTAACGGTTGTAGGTTCTAATATTTTTCATTTAATTAATTCAATTCGGTAATTATAAAGAGGACAATTATTTATTGAATACTTCTATATTACATTAAAACTACTTTAACAGAATATTACAATAATAAATTATTAACAACATATACATTAATTCAGATTTATTGTATGCCATACATTTTTTACCTCGTCCACTTATTACCTATCAAATAAAATTGACCATAAAGGTGACATCCACGTGTCAATCACTGAAATTAGTTACGACTTCATAGCTGTAAAAAATTTGCAAGTATTGAAAACTCTTCCTTTATATATCAAAACATTTAACAATATTTTATTTAGAGCGTAAAATCTACTACTAAACAACACATGGTAGTCGTGATAGTTGCATATAAAATTGTATAATTTTTATTGCAATGAGTAGGGGCGCTGGTATTAATTAAAAATTAAATTTTAGCATCGCTGATATCCTACGTTTGATGCGTGAATTTTATATAATATAAATTATTAGCCTAAGAGCAGAATAAATTTGGAATGCAACAGAGAATACACAACAACATGTCAATTTATTTGTTGTTCGGGTAACGTGTTAATAAAAAAATCTGCAAACTGTCTGAGATCATCAATTACAATTTTTAAATGGCAAATCTGTTTTCATCGTATATTTAAAAAGATAATAAAAATGAGGATGTAATCTTGTATCGGATGACACAAATATCGAAAAAAATAAGTAAATTTATGTATCCGAAAATTGAACAAATGTCAACAGTTTCATACTGTTCAGAAATACTTAGTTGACAGGGAATCTAAACGTAACTGAGAACCACAGAAAAACAGCTACCTAAATGTATTTTTATTTTATTAGTTGTGCTTTGCACGTGTGACGTATGATCATACGTGAATACAACCGCGTAATACTACAAACTTAATTTCGTTCCACAGAAGAAGCGTGCTTAATTTTATTTTTGTATTGATACATTAGGTTTGTCTTATTTTTTATTTATTTTGCATAATATAGATCTTTTTTTTTTCAAAAGTAGTACTGTAAGAGATATGTGTTAAAATGTATCCATCGTATGTATCCATATAAACCTATTTATATTATTATTATTATTATCATCAGTAAACACCCTATACATAAATGATTAAGAAAGAAATGAAATAAAAATTTTAGGCATGTTTTACATTTGTTTTTATTTTTTTTTTACATCTTTATTTACATTTTTCTGGTTTCTATTTATTGATCTTTTTTTCAAAGTTTCAAAAATGTAAATATCTAGGTACTTTTATGAGATCAGTGACTTTTATAATTATGTTTACTTACGTATAAGTAATTATATTTTCGCTATTTACAATGACTTCATGAAAGACGAATATGCCCAAAAACCATTAAACAACTGAGGATCAAAACCAAAATTTAACATCTTGGAACAACATTTAGCCACACAAAAATACGAGAAATCATATATAAAGTTATAAATAAACTATATCTATTAATAAATCATAAAACTAAACAACTTTGCAAAAATTGTTATTTTCATTCATTTTTTTAAGTTTTAAATTTAAACGATTTTAAAATATAACTTAAAGTTTTATTCTTTGCTGCTACCCCGACGTCCAAACATATGTTTAATCATAATAGATTACCTATACTTACGCAAACCATTTTGTGTGTTTATATGTACATTGGCAATCTATTAAATAATTTAAATATTGTCATGGTATAATGTAATTTTCCATTTTCCATGTAATGTAATTAGGTATATATTATTTTATTTCATAAAATAAGAAACATTATTTTGAAAACTAACAAAAATTCAAACAAGATAGGTATACCTATGCATGCTTAAACATGTAATATACTTTTTCATGGATCTATTAAGCCGTTAAAACTTTACGATGGCTACTTTGTTTTGTCTGAAAATTTTAACTCGCGATCATTAACAAAGTGTTACTTTTATTGCAATGATTGCAGTTAAAACCGTTTATTAACCAATTAATATTTACTAACTAATAATAAATAAAATTGCATAAAACTCAAAGAATAAATTTAATTTATTGCCCAAATATCTATATAGGTACATATATTTACATCTGACGCTGGTCTTTATTACTTTTCCAATCAAGTTTTTATCTGTTCGTAGGCATAATTCTTGATTAAAATTTAAATTAGGTACCCAATCTTCAAACTGCCTAAACTATTTTCTTTCAGCATTTGAATGTCTTAATTATTTCCTGTTTAATTAGAGAATATTTCGTTAGGAAACCGTGATCTTAAAAAACTAACCGGTTTCGAGCAACAATGACTTAATAAAAAATGGGAGTTTATAGATGGCATAAAATTATCCGGGATTATGATTAGCATTTGTCATGAGGAGACGAGGGGTCCACAGCAGGAAACCAAAAAAAGACATATTCGGAATTTCTGTAGACCGAGATTTCTAATCGTGGAGGTCTAATTATGGTTACATGATTTACTAAACAAAAACAGATTTTACTTTCTCGATTGAAAAAAATTAAATACAAAATTTCAGTTTTTGAATGGTTGTTTAACACACAATATCGTCTAGAAGTAAGTGAATCTAACGTCGGTTTCTTGTTGCACACCTTAGTAACAACATTTTTCAGCTATCGGCGTGGTTTATCCTTATCATAAATAAACATATCCTGTACACGTTTTGGGTAACTTTATGCGAAATTTATCAAAATTAAGCGTCACACTTTAGTTGACTATAATGAGAATATCGTGGTCTGTCCCTTCTGCCGATAACCGTTTTATTTAATTTATAGCGAAAAATTAAACCGAGTTAGATAACCGGTTAAATATGCATGAACCTTAGATTGAATACGGTTATCCTTTTAAAAAAGCGCGATTAGATCCGCGTGTGTTGTGTAATTTAAAATGTGAAATTAAAGTTGTGAAATCGATTCAAGCAAAGCGCTTTCAGGAACGGATTTTTCAGCTTTTGTCAAAAGAAGTATCGTGGTTTATTGGCGAGCTAAACCGGTTTCATTATCTCCATTAAAATTTCTCAACATGGCCGTCGCTCGGCGGCTACGATAATTATTAAATGCCTCTAAAGATCGAAACTGGAAAGTGACCGATTATCAGTAAAAATGGGCTCGATTATTTCACGGTAATATTTTCAGTCATGAGGTTGGCAGCACGTGCAGCAAACATAAAACTAGTGTAAATTTTCCTCAAGGTTTTCATATTTTAGTACATACGTAGAGGCTTGAGTATTTACGTTGATGGTGTGTTTTTAGATATTTCTGTAGAATGAAACGATGTAAAGTTGTTTTTCGACGGGAAAACGTCATCTGATGTATATGATGTAGTTTTCTCGGTTTCGCTATGATAATTGCGTTTACAGATTTTCGCGTAATAGTACGTTTGAAATAAAATTTTTATGGCGAAATGCAGGACGTAAAACGCAGACGAGTTTATTATGATTGCTTACTTGGTAAATACGCATTTGATTTCTAAATATTTAACCAATCTGAGTAAAAATTGATTTTTATTGTATACTCGGAAATTGTTTAATTATTGTTTATTTTTTTCAGAACTTCTTCCAATCCAAAGAGTTTAAAGAATTTTTTCTCTTTCGAGGTGAGTCTTGTTGTCTGTCATTCTAGCCCTACTAAAATTAAAGTTTTATGTCAGAAAGTGTGGTGTCGTGTTGATAGCATCTGAAGGCGGTTTGTACGTTCCGTCGGGTTCTGTCGTCAACTGTATAAATTTTTTATCTCTATAACTACTTGAAAGTGAAAAAAGCCGTTTTATAAATAATTTACTACATACAATACTTAAAAATTATTTCAACGACGTATTCGATTTTTAAAATGAGAACAATAAATTAAACTTTTTTATCTTGAACACGAGTTTGAAATGTAAATGGCTAGGTATAAGTATTTTTATTCGACTATAGTATGCTAAATAACAATAAGATAATTAAATGATAATTTTTTCTCTGAATTTGCCATTCTAAAACAGAGAAGAGGGTTAACAGATTACTTGATGAATTATATTTTTACTACAATATCAAAGCTTTTATTCTTGTTGATTTAAAAATATATAATGTCAAAAATATTTAAGACTAAAAAATGTATAACAAAAACATTTGTCAAAGTTTGTGTTTGGGTGTATGTTATACCTACCAATATGCTATGATTAATTTTTTTTTGTCAGAAATCTGAGTTTATTTTGCTAGATATTCGAGAATATTTGACCACGTTTATGTACCTACCTATTTAATTTAGTTATTAGGTTGTCACCCATCGCGACAATTCGACTAGAACCTTCCGAAAAAGTCATATTCTTTGATTAATTTCGAATATATTGAAGTTGTTAAATTTACAACTCAAAACCTAGAATTATAATCTTCTTGAGAAAAAAAAGTGGCAACCATGTCAAAGTACCTAAAATCTGATACTTATAGTACCTACTTTATCTTAAATAAGGATTAGAGTTTGTACCGTAATTGACATAAATGATACCAATATTTTTTTTTTTGGTGTAATCGCTAATCAGTCATATTTGTATACTCTCAATAATTTAGGAGATATCAGAGAATTTCATGATGTTGACTCACGCGCTATTGTTTTAAAACATTTTGACAACATTTTTGTCGCATGAATCTTCACGTTGATACCTAAGTGACTCAGTTTATTTCGTGTTCTGTTTCTGTATCGAAATAAAAGTACCTATTACTTAGTATTGTTTTTCCGAAGGCTTCAAACAATTGACATACGAACTATACGAAATAAACAAGCTTTTTGCGATTTCTTTCATTTAGATTCAATTATTTTCTAGCGTACTTTATGTTTTATTTTAGTATTTATCACTCCTGTTCATGATGCATAAGTAGGTATACCAAAACAGCAACAAATATCCATTTAATTTTTAAAAAGATTTTTTTGCAAATATTCTGCTACAGCTTGTTTGAATTTTGTAAAGTACAACTTTCTGTTGAAAGTAATTTACACCATTTTTCACTTACCTACATTAAATTTATTTTGTGGATGTGTGGTATAATTTTTTTAAAATGCAAGCAAATCTTTTTGTTGATTTAAAACGATAATAATTGGCAGTATAAAATGTTTAACACCCTACGTTTATACACACTATTCAACAAATGGAGCACCAACTCTAATATGACACGTTGCTCAGGACTATTTTTGAAGCAGAGAAAAAATAATTTAAAAAATCCTTTTGTCCAATTATAGAAGATCTAGCTAAATTTTTTTTTTCGAAATTTCACCATGTCTATTTCACTATTTTGTGTTGGGTATCTGAAATCGATTGGGATTTCACTATTGAAAATAATTTTGGACACATCTTGTCTTTATCCATGGATGTCTTCATTTTACAAAAAACTTAAAAATTGTTTAGGATAAATGTGGCGAATGTCACGTTTTTTGATCTGTTTATCTAAGTCGATGTTTTGTTTAGGTAAGTGAATATCAAATTAACCTAAAGAATTTTTTAATGATTTTTCCCGAACTTAGACTTGTGGTGAATTCACTTATATATCATTGATGTGGTGCGTCATTTTTTGAACACACTGTATGTAGTAGAATCACGTAGTATTGAAATTTTTTTGTGTAAAAAGATAAAAAATATAATTTGGAGAACTGAAAGAGCTAAATCGACCTCTTTGTTTGAGTTTTTCCAAAAAAAAGTATTTTGTAAATTTATAATACCTACTTAATTTCTTATATTAGCCTACATACTTACAATTTGGTTTTTCTTTTTTAGAAACACCCTATATATTTTTACATATTCTCATTAGCCTCATGCTTAGGCATTTTTCTGACACTGACGTTTCTAAACACATATAAGCAAACTTTGATACAATTCAGTTTTGAAACATTTTTTGTAATCTAGGTTTAAGTGGAAACGGTATTATAGGTTGCCTATTTTAAAAACACAAATGGGTCATCTTAGCTGAATCAGCCTGTATATTCTAAGTAATTAGATAATCTTTTCCTAGGTTATGAAACCATTTTAATTTTTGACATTTGGTCTATTCCAATTGCATTTTTTTGACAATGCAAGGCTTCATAAAAAAATAGCAACATTGTTACTTTTAAGATTGTGTTGCAATGTTTTATGGAGTGATAAGCAATCGACGCACGTGCTCTATTTTGGCGTCCATTAACTAAAATTTTAACATACAGGGTTTTATAAAAATTTGAACATTACAGTTCTTATAACTATAATTAAGTATATTTCAGTTTTTTCAAGTAGAACACCTTTGATTTTATTACTGCTTCCTAATCTATTTTTTATTCTCTTTCTTTCGACATGTCGGTGTGTCTCTTAAGAAACTAAAAAATAAGATGCATTAATAAAATATTAAATAATATACCTATTTGTTCTGTTTGAAAAAAAAAACTGAAATACTTATCGATATTTAAAAATTGTAATAATTCATTTTTTTAGTAAACACTCTGTATAATAACAATCAATTTTATTCGTACCACAACAAAGCGCGCACATTTATTTATCTCTCTAGAAAATATTGTACCTATCATCAGACTTTAAAAAATAACCCTACTGCGATTTTTGTGAATCCTTCCATCACTGAAAAATTTCAAGGACATCGGAATAACATAGTAACATTGTATATATTAGGTACATCACCTTAAAAAACAGAACAGCCTGTATTTTAAAATTTTTGTTACTAAAAATTACTCCATATAATGTTCTTTCAAAAAGTCAGCGTATACTCTTGCAAAATGAATAATTCTGGGTTTACCATACATTATATTTCACTGTATTATGCGACAGAAAAGTTTTAATTGAATCACCCCTAAAATTATTAGTTCATGAGCAATATTGCATCTCTAATAAATAAGAAAAATGTTGTAAGTAGTTAAAAAGTAAAAAGTTGTAGGTATTACCTACATACCTATAATTTGAGAGTTCAAAATTAGTGACAGATTTTGGAATATTCACGTAATTAATGTAGTAGCTACCAACAAAAACATTATTTATTTATATCGCTGAAGGACTGTTTATTATGTTATATAGAGTGCATGCTAATGACTAATTGAATATTTTGTTAGGTCATTAGCCCATAAGTAAATTTTAGTTTACTTACATAAATTTAAACAAAAACATATCTATTATTTATTTATTCTTTTTGTACTCAATATATCTAGAAAATAGTCGAAAAATATGACAACTACTTATGCATTTAGTATTAACCATACAAAAAATTCTAGTAAATTAGTTAAAATATTTTTAACATAACACATGTTGTTACTAGAGAAATAAATTTCTGTTTTTACACAAAATTTTATAAATGATTATTAAAAGTATTTTCTTTTTATTTCATTCATTTGGTTGACATGTTTAGGGTTTTCATTTGCAAAGCATTCGCGTTCGGGGATAAAACATGGATTGCATATCATAAACTACACGAATCAGTTAAACCTATAAGTTTGAACCCAAAGTGTTTGGGCCGCATTCCATTTTTTCCTTAAATAGGTAAAATGGTAACAAATACTTGCTGACGTCTAGGATACTCTAAAGACCAAAGAAAAAAATTTAGTTGGTCGAATTGTTCCATGTCCCTACTCAAAACCGTAGGTCGTCTATTACGTTACCTTCAAGTTGGAGTTTATAACTTCATTTGTGTTTTATGGGCAAGGTTTGCTATATAATAATAATTAGGCATTAAAACAAATGTACCTACTACCAGCTGTAAATAAATTTCACAAGGTTTTGTCCATTGCTTCTTTGTAGTGTCGATATCTTTACAATTCCTTTTGCTTATTCAAAGTCCACATTGCGTTTCCTATTCGACGAATTTGTTTTATTTTTAACCCGCTCGAAAATCCCACGAAACCCTCCCCGATAATCTCCACTAGTATCGTGTAGATACTTATATCTTATATCAGAATTCTGAAAGCAACGTTCATAAATATTATTGAATATAATTTACGGCCAAGTCTACATGTATATATAAACCGTCGACCCACTCGCTTGGTCATTACTGCAACCACCACACGTAAATATTCTCCCTCTTTGTTCGAAACGTCATCCATCTTCAGCGAAAAGGCGCAACGTGTGGCCCATAAACAGTCTGATTGCAATTTGCAACATTGTATGCCGATGACTATCTGGTCTTACAGGTTTCTGCTAGATGAAGTTACAAGTCGTAAGTCATTTATTTTTTCCCTCATTATCGTACACACTACGCATTCCATTAAAATGCACTTAATTGGACGCCATTTTCATACACGCTGCATAAAGGTGAAACGAAATTAATTCTCGTGGCAACAAAAAGATTAAAAATGCAAAACAGCAAAACAAGTTTTATGCGTATATCGTTTTGTATTTTTTATTTCATTAAATTATATGTAAATGGCCGCGGAATGCTAAATACTACGATAATTTGTAATAAAACTTGCATTGATCTTTTGACCACTAAAAAATTATGACTGTTACTACTACTATACTACTACTACTACTGCTTGTTTAGAGCTGAACAATGATATCTCTGACAATTTGTCAAATCGGGTTTTAATCAGAAAAATGTCTTTCCGGATTAATCCGGCCTTTAAGCGCTGAATTAGCGTCGATCGGTGGTTGTGTATGGG